AGAACGATCAAGTGTTCTGGGACGACTGGAACAGCACATCAACAGAGAACTGCCAGAAGTCCAGGCTGGGTTTAGAAGGGGTCATGGTACTAGGGATATTGTAGCTGATGTTAGATGGATATTCGCTGAAAGCAGGGAATACCAGAGGAATGTGTATCTGTGTTTCATTGACTATGCAAAGGTGTTTGACTCTGTGGATCATAACAAACTGTGGCTGACTCTAAGAAGAATGGGAATCCCAGAACACTTGATCGTTCTGATGTGAAACCTCAGAGGCATAGCTAAGAAATAAAACTTCTCTTCCTTTTACATATATTTCACTCAAAGTAGATAGCATTTATCACTTAGAACTGTATTCAAATCTGTTTTAACTAAATACCTGTTCCCGATATTTTGTCATTAATTGCCAATAATTAGTATATTCTGTGAACTTATAGAAGCTATTTTCTCTTTGTTTGAAGTTGCCATTGCCCCAAACGGAGCCTTACAGCTGGCCAGTGCAGGTACAGATGGAGTACAGGGGCTACAGACATTAACCATGACAAATTCAGGCAGTACTCCGCAAGGTACAACAATCCTCCAGTATGCACAGACGTCGGATGGACAGCAAATACTTGTTCCCAGCAACCAGGTCGTTGTACAAAGTAAGTGTGCTTAAGTGTCAGCAGAGAGTGTCCCATAGTACTTTCAAAGACATTTATCAACTAACCTTACTCTTTTGATCACACAGCGGCTTCAGGAGATATGCAGACATATCAGATCCGTACCACACCTTCAGCTACTTCGCTACCACAAACAGTGGTGATGACATCTCCTGTTACTCTTACATCTCAGACAACTAAAACAGATGACCCTCAAATGAAAAGAGAAATAAGATTGATGAAAAATAGGTAAGTAGTAAAATGATACTGCCAGGTTTTATGTCTTTGCAAATCTCAAAATATAACCTGTTGTTAATTGCAACCTTGTATTAAAATCAGGTTTGTCTGCTTTATTTTACATGATGGGCAATCTCCTGGTATGTGATCTGTTGCCTGTGAAAGAACACTGGAGGGTCCGCTGTGAGTCAGTTTTGATTCAGTATATAACAGCGACAGATTATGTCAAGTTTATTTCCAGTTGATTATTGAGTTCCAGTACTCAGTGTTTTTATTTAATATAAGACCTTCCAGTTTTACTATGTCCTTTGAAAAAGTTTTTTAAGCAAAATATTTTGTTGTTGGGCATAAGAGGTAAGTGAAAACAACTTGCTACTTGCCATTGACTGGAACAAAAATTAGTGGTAGATTTCACAAAGAGCTGCCATTGTTGATATCCGATGCAGCCTGGCCAGAAACCGAGAATATCAGAAAGATAGTGACTTGAGTTTTATTGACTGTCACAGGACATTAACTATGTACATCAGGATATATTATGGATAGATAACATTACAAAAAATGGGAATTCCAGGACATTTAATTGTGTTCATGCAGAAACTATATGATCAAGAGGCATTTGAACAGAGCAAGGAAATAAATACTGCATGATTTAGGATTCAAAAAAATGTGAGCAGAGTTGTATTATATTTGGTGAAATTGAGGGTCAGAGAAAAAGAAAACCTTCAGTGGAATGGATTGACACAATATCAGCAGTGGACTCAAACATACCATATTGATCATGAAGATGGCCCAGGACTAGATGACGTTCTGTAACATATAAGGTTACCATCATCCAGGAAGAATGCAAAAGGACAGTGCAAAGACAGAGGAGGAAGAAAAGACCAAGGTGGATGTCAGAAGAAACTCTGAATATTGCACTAGAGTGCCGAGAAGCCAAAGCAAATGGAAGAAATCAGGATATTCAGGAGTTGAACAGAAGATTCCACAGGGCAGTGCGGGAAGACAAAGTATTACAATGAAATGTGCAGAGAACTGGAGTTGAAAATCCAAAGGGCGGAACTCACTCAGCATTTCTTAAGCTTAAAGAACTGAAGAACAAATTCAAGCCTCAAGTCGCAATACTTACGGATACTGTGGGCACAATATTAAATGATCCAGGAACTCTTTAGAGAAGATGGAAAGAGTATACAGAGTCATTGTACCAAAAGGAACTGGCAGACAAAGAAGAATTTCATGAAACAACCTATGGGCAAGAGCTTATGGTAATGAAGAAAGAAGTTCAAGCTGCTATGAAAGAATTGGTAAAAAACAAGGGCCCAGGAATTGATGGAATACCAATTGACATATTTCAACAGACAGATGCTGTCCTGGATGTGCTCACCAAGTTGTGCCAAGAAATCTGGAGGACAATCACCTGGCCAACTGACGGAAAGGGATCTATATTTGTTCCCATTCCAAAGAAAGGTAATACAACAGAGTGTGGAAATTACCAAACAGTATCATTGATGTCACATGCAGGCAAGATTCTGCTGAAGATTATCCAAAAATGACTGGAACAGCACATCAACAGAGAACTGCCTGAAGTGCAGGATGCGTTTAGAAGAGGATGTGGTACTAAGGATATTATAGCTAATATCAGATGGAATGTCTATCTGTGTTTTCTTGACTGCACAAAGGCATTTGACTGTGTAGATCACAACAAACCATAGCTGACTCTGAGAAGAATGGGAATCCCAGCACAGTTGATTGTGCTTATGCGAAACGCCTCCCTGAACCAGGAGATACTCTATCATCAGAACAGAGAAAGGAAACATTGCATGGTTCAAAATTGGGAAGGGTATGAGTGAAGGACGTGTCCTATCTCCATATCTTTTCAATCGATATGGGGAACAGATTACCTGGAAGCCTGGATTCTATGAGGAGAAGTGTGGCATCAGCAATGGAGGTAGACTCATCAATAATCTGCGTTATGCAGATGACACAACCTTGCTTGCTGAAACTGAGGAGGACCTGAAGCGCTTGCTGCAGAGGGTCAAGGACTGCAGTCTTCAATATGGATTGAAGTTCATCATCAAGAAAACAAAGATTCTCACCATCGGGCCAACTGGCAGTGGCATGATGGATGATGAAGAGATTGAGATTGTTTACAGCTTCAGTTTGCTTGGTTCTACAATCAACACTATGGTACCAGAGGCCAGGAAATTAAAAGGCAAATACCACTGGGAAAGTTTGCTGTCAGAGACCTCTCCAAGTACTAAAGAGCAATGATGTCACTCTGGAGACTAAGGTGTGCCTGATACAGGCCATAGTCTTCGCAAGTACTTGCTATGCATCAGAAAGCTCAACAATGACTAGGGATGGGAGAAGGAGAGTTGATGCCTTTGAGCTGTGGTGCTGGAGAAGAGTATTGACTATACCATGGACTGCTAGTAGAACAAGTTCATCCTACAGAGGGTGAAATCAGGCTGCTCCTTGGAGGCAAGGATTCTGAAACTTTGCCTGACATACTTTGGACATGGAAGATCTTGGACATGTTGCGAGGCAAGACTTCCCTCAGAGAGGGAAGTCACGGTTGGGAGGGTGGTGGGACAGCGCAGGATAAGAAGACCTTCGATGAGATGGATTGTTTCAGTGACTGTGGTGATAAGGGTAGTTATGTCGGAGACAGTGCGATTGGCACAGGACAGAGCAAGGTTTAGGGCTGTTGTACATAGGGTCGCTATGAGTTGCAGGCGACTTAATGTCACATAAGAACAACATTCTTCGTCTGACATACTTTGGACATGTTGCAGGGTGGGATCAGTCATTGGAGAAGCATGTCATGCTTGGAAGGGAGGAGAGGCAGTGCAGGAGAGGAAGACCGTCAGTGAGATGGATTGATTCAGTCACTGGGGTAACGTGTGTCGGAGACAATAAGATTGGCAATGGGTAGAGCAGAGTTTAGGGCTGCTGTACATAGGGTCGCTATGAATCACAGACGAATGGACGACACATAACAACAGCCATGTATTGGCACCACCTTGACAGCAACCAACAACACAACCCCTAATACAGTACTGACACAGAAGTGCTCTCAGAAATGAATTTTGATCAAGACAACAACAGTGATTTAAACCCTAGAAATACTTATTTTAAATATGTTTAAAATAGTGCTGCTGTAAAAAATAGCTGTAAAATAAAAGAGGAGTAGTGTAAAAATAGAGAGCTCTGGTTGCTTGGTAGTAAGGAGTTGCACTGCTAACCCAAAGGTACACAGTTCGAATCCACTAACTTCTTCCCAGGAGAAAGATGAGCAGTCTCCTCCCATGAGATTTACTGCCTCTGAAAACCTGCTGACGGGTCATCTATGAGTCAGTTCTATCCCAACAGTATCTAACAATAACAACTGTAAAAATGACATAGACATATCTGACTTCTTACCTCACAAGGTAAGGGGGGTTGTAGAAATAAGAACCACAAAAGTAGTTTGTCAAGTATTCACCTTAGGTGAATGGCAGGAAGAATTTTTCATAGGTCTAAAGAAAAGGGGGGTAAGAGAGCATTAAAATCATCAACGATCAGGAGCCTTTTAAGAAGGAGGAAAATAACAAACTCATTACCAAAAATATTTTCATCTGTTAAGAATCTCCTGGAGAATCAACTACAAACTATTTGAAAAATTTTGAAAAGACTAGGTTACTTAAACACTATATTAAAGTTGCCCATATAATAAAACTAGAAAAATAAAATTTATAAAGATTAACATGAAAGAAGTAAGTGTGTGTGTGTGTACACCGTCAAATCAGGTCTGACTGGTATTGGAGGAGATTGCCCCTCTTCTCCAGCAGAGCATATGGTGGATTCGAACTTGCCCATTGGTGCAAGTCACTGTGTCAGTCCATCTTGTCGAGGGTCTTCCTCTCTCGGTGACCCTCTACCTTTCCTAGCATGATGTCCCTCTCCAAAGAGTGGCATTACCTAACAGCATGTAAAAGTATGAGACAAAGTTTTGCCATCATTTCCTCCAAGGAACACTATACTTTTTCTAGACTCTTTCTTGCTTCTTTTGGCAGTCAATATGATAGTCAGTGCTCTTCTCCAGTACCACATTTCAAAGGCATCAGTGGTTCTTTTGTCATCCTTAGTCATTGTCCAGGTCTCAGACACATAATAAGTGACTGAAAAGACCATGGCCTGAGGCAAGTGCACCTTAGTCTTCAATCTGACATCATTGCTTCTCAGTCATTTGGAGAGGTCCCTGAGTACAGACTTTGCTAGTGCAATATGTCTCATGACTGCTGGTACCAAGGGTGTGGATTGTGGATCCAAGTAAGATGAAATTATTGACAATGTCACCCTTTTCTCCATCTATTGTGATGTTGCTTATCAGTCCACCGTAAAGCGTTTTGTCATCTTAATACTGAAATGTAGTTCATATTGAAGGCTGTTGTTTTTGATCTTCTGTAGCAAGCATTTCAAATCTTTCTCACTTTTCAGCAAACAGGGTTGTAAGTAACAGATTGTTGTTGAGTCTTCTAACTATCCTGATTCCATATTCTTCTTGAATTATTTGTTCAACATACCGATTGATTAGGTATGGAGAAATCAAGGTATTTAGACAGGGCTAAAACATTTTTATAACTTCGAACTCTATTTACTCTGTTGTATACACACATCTGTTTACAGAATATTTGACTACTATGTAGAAATATTATTGGCCACACCTGTATGGTCATGTGTGTAGTGCATAGTTGTTGACTGTGACTCATAGCAACCCTATGAAGAATAGACCAAAACACTGCCTGTCCTACATCCTTGTTGTAATCTGTACCATGCTCAAGTCTGTCCAAGTAAAATGATTGGCAACCTCAGCGTTTCATTCATCTATCATGATGTTGCCTATTGTTTAGTGTTTAGAATTTTTGATTTCTTGATGTTGAAGTATATTCCATGTTTAAGTCTTTGATCTTCTGTAGTAAGTACTTCATTTTCACTTTCTGCCAGTGAGGTTGTGTCATCTGCAAACATTTTCAAGCTGAATTGAAGAACAAATTCAAGCTTTAGGTTGCAATACTGATGGATTCTATGGGCAGTATATCTTGAATGATGCAGGAAGCATCAAAAGAAGATGGAAGGAATATAAAGTCACTCACTATATTGAAAATGATTGACAATGAACCATTTCAGGAAATAGCATATAATCAGGAAGCAGCAGTAATGAAGGAAGAAGTTCAAGTTGCACTGACGTCATTGATGAAAAATGAAGCCTCAGGAATTGATAAATAAAAGATACCTAAGAAGGAAATATACAAATAGCTTGTAAATGTAACATTATATCAAATTCTGTGCATAATCAGAAAAATGTAAATTAAGGATGTTGTTAAGTGCCATAGAGTTGTAGATGACCCATAATGACAGTATGAACAAAAGTCTTAAACAGAAAACGTTATTTTTTTTCTCCAACTTCATAGAGTTTCCGGAGGAAAGCTTTTGGAAGTGGATGCCACTACTGCTTCCAAGATATTTTTAAATTATTAGACTGTTAAAAATTTGGTGTTCTCCTATCATAACAGATGTTCAAGAATTTGAAAGGAAGCAGGTGCTCTCCTGTTAATGGAACTATAAACTGGTCACAGTGATTTCTGAAGGCTTTTTTTGTAGTATCTCTTGATTTTAAATGATCATAGCTTGTGAACCATCGGAAAACACTGATGAGGGGATTGTAAAAGTGTTCATCACAGCCTTGTGTAACAGTAAAAAGTTTGAACTTGCTATTAGTAATGGAAAGTTTCAATAAATTTACATAGAATTTATAGAACACCACATAGAGAGAGCTCAGTTAGCCTAGTGGACAGAAAGTGATCCTACCAAGCCAAAGGTGGGTGATTTTAATCTGTGGGCCTCAGGCCTGGTTTTAATTGTTTTTGGTCAAATGTTCTTCTAAGTGCTATAGCACTGGTCTGTCCACTTGCTGTACAGAGGTAACTCGTGGTTGCTGTGATGCTGAACACTGTGACACTGATGTGTTAAATGTGATAATGCTTACCCATGGTGGACAGTGTTTGGTGGAGCTCCCCAATTTAAACAAGCTTGGAAGCAGGAATGGCATCCATTTCCAAAATAGCTTGCCTCTAGATACTCTATGAACTTGGAGAAACAATGAAAGTTACGCAAGTGTTCAGGTCTTTTGTTCATAGGGTCGCTATGAGCCATCTACGACTCAACGGCACTTAACAACATTATAGATGATTGCGTTGATTTTTTTTTAAATAAGATCTGTGTACTGAAATAGAAACATCACTGTGACACCATGTGTATTCCAAGTACTGTCTACAGTACTGAGTATAAGTAAAATGTATGCAAACCCGGAATTGCTACTTCCGTAGGTACATTTAACTTGGATATGACTTCACAGCATTTTTAAGGGGACACACAGAACTGCCTGGTTCAGCCACCAGTTATAATTTTAGTGGTTTTTTTTTTAATTTTTATTTTATTGTTTTTGTGTGAGTGTACCGTCAAATCAGATCTGACTAGTACAGGAGGAGATTGTCCCTCCTTCCCCGGCAGAGCATCTGGTGGATTCGAACCGTGCGCCTCTGGGATTGTAGTTGCAGCTCCTCACCAGTTATAATTAAAACATAATAAAAATATATTTAAAGAAACTGATGATTGATCAGGGAGCCATAAAAAGGACTGAGTAGGGAGAGACATGAGAACTCTTGGGGGAAGAGGAAATGTTCTTCATTTTAATAAGGATGTAGGTTATACAGGCACATACATTTGCCAAAATTTACCAAATACTGCATTTAAGTTTTAAATATTTTTTGTATGTTGATTAGAAGTCACTTTGTTTTTAAGTGATGGGGGCGAGGGGAATGACAGGAAAAATTACTTATGTACATTTACCATTTAAAGAATGTAGCATTTCTCTAACTTTGTGTTTTGTTTTGTTTTGAAAAATATATATAGGGAAGCTGCTCGCGAATGTCGTAGAAAGAAGAAAGAATATGTGAAATGCCTGGAAAATCGAGTTGCCGTTCTGGAAAATCAAAATAAGACTCTAATAGAAGAGTTAAAAACTTTGAAGGCTCTTTATGCCCATAAAAATGTTTGACTCTGAAGAAACAAAGTATTTTTGTGGACTTGCCTAAAATTAGATCATTCTTTTCTTTTTAATGGAGTATTTTAAGTTAAGAGGTCAAGAATAAAGCTTTTTATTTAGTCTTTTGCAACTCATAAGAAATCTGATGACAGAGGATTAAGCGAGAAATGACCTCAAGGAGGTTACTGGCACAACTGGAAGCGTCATGAAAAAACATACTCAAGGTGCAGGCAGTGAACTTGGAGCAATCTGAATTTTCTTAACTAAAAGTAATCGTCAGTAATAAAAATTGGCAGATAAAGTGAAAATTTGATAAGTTGGATTTTTTAAAAAATAACTTACCTTCAGAGTTTGCATTTATTACTGTTTTTTGAAATTTTCCCAATAATATATGTGTGTATTATTTCTGCCAATAAATTCTAAATGACAAATGTAAAAGAAAAATACATAACTATAAATTATGTATGCTGATTATATTTGTTCTTTTGTCAAGCCTTTTAAATGGGTTGTTAAAAGTTTATTGCATTTAAGAATGTTTTTGAGACTTGTTAATTATTTTTGAGGCCTTATCGAAAAAGGCACTTGAGGTACATAAATGGAAGTGTGGTAATTTTGTAAATTTTTTATTAGAATTGAAAGAGAACTATTTAAAAGTTTGATACTTTTAACTATTTAGAAGTTTGATACTTTTAAGTAGTTTGGTTTTGGTTACTCTGGGAATGGTGGTTTTCAAAAAATATATAATTGTGTTTTGATTCTGTATGCAGTTGAATAGATACTTATTCTGTTGTGCTCAATAGAAAGGAATGTTTACAGTCTGTTAAAATTATATTAGAGGATTTTTTAAAAACCCTCCAAACATGCTTACCAAAGTTTTTCCAAGAGGATTTTATAATCAACTTAATGTAGTTTATCAGATTCTAAAAATTAACTCTTTTGTAATGTAGTGAATAGTACCTTTATAAGAAAAGTGACTCCCAATATATTTTTATAGCTAATCTTTATAAACTGATGTTGAGTTTAGTGATTAAATGTTTATCTAGTTTGTTAAGTAAGGAAATTTTTGCAACTGAAGAGTATCATTTTTATATTATGAGTAGTAAAGTTTTCAGATTGGCTAATATTTGAATTGTAAGTTTTGTATGCAGCTTAGCTAAAGTTGAGAAATGCTGTCAGTACACTAGTGTTTAACTTCTTTATCTCAATTTGTATACACTTTAAAATTGTACTGCAGAACAATTGTGTGTTCCTTATATGTATCATATTGTCTCTGAAATTAAAAGACATTTGATAAAACTAAGCTTCCTGAATGTGTAGTACTGGATACCTAAGTGACAGGCTTGCTGATAGCAGTTCTGTTATGTTTTAAATGAGGATGAATTTACAGTTCTGGTTTATAAAATCTTTTAAAAATATTAGTTTATACATTTTTATTTGATCAAGCAAGTTACAAGCAACTAAGTAAAAACCAAAATATTTGTTCTATAATGTTTAGGACATGTTAAGGAATCTGTTACATTGAAATGACCTGTTTAGTAGGCAACAGCTTATGAAAACAAAGTTCATTCTGCCAGTGGGATTACTTACACTAAATTCTGTGTGATGTTTGAGCTTTAGACTGTCATCTTGTTGGGTTATATCAAAAGAGTAAGTTTTGCCTTGTATTTGGGTCAGTCTGTGAATAATGTTAGCATATATGTTAATTTTAGGTGGTAGTTTATCATTATTGGTTCTCAGTCACATAAGTTTCCTTCAGTATTTATTGTAGGGTTCGTCTAGTTATCACAGATTTCCTTAGTGTGTGTTTCTCGGAAAATGTTCTTATCTCTCCGTCATATCTGAGGAACAGTATTCTTTCACAAGTTTAAATATATCACGTGTATAGGTGTTACCCAATTGTCTTCTTGCCTACATGGTTTCTTCTAGTCTTTTTGGTTCATCTTTGTAGATAATTCTTAATTTTCTCCCAACGTGCATTCAGTATTCTTTTAAGAGATTTTATTATTATTTGTCTTGGTGTTTTTCTTTTTGGGTCTATCCCATTTGGAATTTGCTCGGCTTCTTGAATGCATATTCTCCTCTTTTCATATCCAGCAAATCTTCAACAGTATCCTCTACTCTTTTTGATCTTTTCCTTTCTTGGAATTCTAACCACATGTAAATTACTCCTCTTGATGTTGGTCCATGTAATTTTTATGCATTCTCTCCTCCCCCCCCCCCACCTGAGGAATCCCTCTAACTGCATAGTATCATAGGCTTTGCCCTCCAGTTCACTAACTGTGTCCACTGTTTAATTTTGTACTTTTGTCTTTCCAATGTGTTATCTATCTGTGTCCACTGTTTAATTTTGTACTTTTGTCTTTCCAATGTGTTATCTATCTGTGTCCACTGTTTAATTTTGTACTTTTGTCTTTCCAATGTGTTATCTATTCCTAGAGTTTTAGTCTTAATACTCTGATTTTCATCACCATTGGTTCTTGATCATATACTATCTCTTAAAATGGTTTTGTGCCAGCCATTTCTTTCTGGTACAGTGGTTCTGTGTATCCCTACCTCCTTTTTACACTTCCTGGACCATTTAATAGTTTTTCCAAAGCATCCTTCAGTATTTTAACTCAAAGTTTGTTTTTCAATTCTTTCAGCTTGAGAGATGCCAAGTGAGTTTCTCATTTATTTTCTGACACCAGCTCTGCACATTTTGTTATAATACTTTGTTTTGTCTGAGTCTCTTCTGACATCCATTTTGATCTTTTCATCCCCCGCCACCCCCGTTTTTGCAGTGACCCTTGCTTTCTTCCTCAGTGATATCCTTGATGTCATCCCACATTTCATCTGGTTTTCAGTCATCCTGTTCAGTGTCACAGACCTGTTTTTGAGATGGTTTTTAAATTCTGGAGTGATAGACTAAAGGCTGAAATTTGGTTCTTGCTTATTTAAGGTTCTTAAGGTTTCACCTCTTGTTTTCTGGTGGGTGTTTTAGTGGATATGGAAGCTGTTTGGAACAGTTAAGGGCAGAATGGGCCAGTGATGCTTGTTGATTAAGGGGATGAGGAGCGGTGGTTTTTACTCTGCACAATGGGTGAAGCTGCAGGAAGTTTATTAGGAGCTGGATACTGTTGCTGTCAGTTGCCAGACAGGACAAAGAAAAAAGGACCAAAAACACCAGGATTGGACACTAAAGGAAAACAGAATAATCAAAACTGAGAGGAGTACAAAAGGAAAGAGAATGAGAATAATCAAAGCTGGAAAAAAAAGGAAAGAAAAAAAGACTGACACTGGAAAGAAAAGGTAGAAGAAATTGAAAACAAAAAATTAAAAACAAGCAATGGGAAATGAAGAGGAAGGTCCTCAAGGGTGGACAGGGCCTCTGATTGGTCCTCTTGCCACAACTGAGGTGGAGGTAAGATGTCTGTTCTGGACCATTTGTTAGCCAGGTTACAGTACCCAGTTAGGTCAGAGTTTCTGATCATTTGAGAGGCAGCTGAGGCCTCAAGCTATGAGCCAGGTCACAGATGGCACCTTTTCTGGTCTAGTAGGTATGCACACCTAGTGAGGATGTGTATGCCAGTCCAGGGTGCCTTGGCAGAAGATAAAGCTTGAAGAGAGTCACTGCCCATTGAGCTTTCCCAAGGATATTGCAGCCCATCATGCATAGCTCCAATGTAACTATGGTATGTGCTGAGTAAGTGGTCCCCAAGAGTGCCCAGTAAGAGACAAGGGCCCCAGTCAGAGATGGTGCTTCTGCTAAGCTGGGGGCTGCTGTAGTCCAGGCATTTGACAGTCTGTCCCCTCCCACAGGGAGTCTAGTCTCTCAGTGTAGAGCTCAGTGCACACACTCCAGGCAACAGATACAAGATTATGTGGACCTGGCCTGAGGCAGAGCTGGGTCAGGGGCATACTGCCTGCCACCTAGTGGATGGGTGGGTGGTGGTGATGAGAAAAGTCACTTTCTTGATCCCTAGAAGGGTATGGGGAACAAGGGGGTAGATCACACCTTTCTTGTCACCTAGCTGCTGTGGTGGGCCTTGCAGCAGACTGCTGGGCCTGCTTGGCACTGTTTACAACTTTATGCTGCATCAGTCTCATTAGATGCTTTTTTTCCCCCCTGGTTTCCTTCCAGGTGGTGTTTGAAGTACTTCTTTAGAACCTTTCCATTGAAACTGAAGTTTTCAGAATTATCAGCCAATGCCTATTAAATCTTTGTTTCTGGTATCTTAGTTGAGGGTCTAGGCTTCCATCTCCCTAATAGGCCCGTCTTACCTGGAAGATATCAGAATGAGTTTTAAAGATAGTAGGTAATTTCACAATGAATAATCCAACTTGCTTGTAATAATCATGTAACACATGCTCTGTTATACAAACTAAGTTTTTGTTTTTAATCAAGACAGGTAATTACTTAAATGGGAATTCATTCCAACAATTCTTAAAAGGAGAGTACTTTTTTAATTAAAAAAAGGTTTTCCTTATCACTGCCTTTTATTACCAGGATCTCTCTAAATCTTTTTGTGTTTAGGGGTTAGAAACAACAAATAAAATTACAGATACTTTAAATTTAGAAATACTTTAAAAATCACACTAATCATAAATGATACTTTAGAACTCATATAAATCTAAATTATTTCAACAATGAAGCATAGTTAGGCGATGCTGGCATTTTGTCAGTCCCTCTTACTGTTATGTGCCATTGAGTCAGAATCCACGGATAGCTGACCCTTTAGCAGGTTTCCAGAGAAAGTAAGTTACACAAAAGACTGCCTACCTATTTCTGGTGGAGCAGCTAGTGGATTCAGATTGTGTGCCTTTGAGTTGGTAGCACAGTCTCTTCTCTTTAGGCCACCAGAGCTCGACAGTCACTCACTAGTGAAAAATTTTGGACTATCTTGGGAATGGGGATATTTTTAGTTTAAAAAAAACAACAACACGTTTTCAGTGTGGTATTTTTCCCTCCCACATATTTCACATCTTCCTGTCAATTTTATCAAAGTGATCAGCTTGGGTCCATGTTTTCAAGAACCAGAAGGCACAGACTGAGTTTAGAAAACTAAGTATAGTGATGCTGGAAATGCCTGACAGCTGCTCAGAGAAAACTGATGGTTGAGAACCTGTGTGGAGCCAAATGGCTACATGGGGTTCTGAGGACAAGGTGGTGACCTGGCTTTCAACATGATCAACAAGAACCTGTATGTAGGAGGATGGAGAGAAGAGGACGTGGGAAGTGAAGTTACTGT